AGTAGTAGTAGTAGTCTATTACGAGACAATTGGGTTGGTTCCAATAATATGTCCTGTTTTTGTTTTGCACTAAAAAAAACGTCGGACAAATAATGGCCACCAATGAATAAAAATATACTTCCATTTCTGATACAGATGAACTTAGTAGCCTTGCGATTATCATATTAAACACGGTAACAGATATATTATCTCAAAATTCCCCCTTATGTCGCTCGACCTACTTAGTGAATTGCAAGGACACCGTAAAACAATTTGAGTGAAATTGGACCAAAGAAAACGAAACATTACGACACTAATAAAAAGACATGTCAAAGCTCTTTCTATTTAACCAGCAATATACATTAAAAATAGACCAAGGCAAAAATAAAGTACAAAGACAAAAAAAAAAAAATGTAATTACTGACAAAGGTAATTCTAATGATAAGAATTATTACAATAAATATAGTCACTGCTAATAATGATAACTTTATTATTGTTATTATTATTATTATTATTATTATTATTATTATTATTATTATTATTATTATTATTATCATTGTTATTATTATCGTCATTACAGTTACCATTATTATTATTGTTATGGTTATTATTATTATCATTATTATTATCATCACCGTAATTTTTTATTATCATCATCATTATCCTTATCAATATTATCATTATCATAATTATTATCATTATTATCATTATTAATTATTATTATTATTATTATTATCATTATTATTATTATTATTATTATTATAATTATTATCATTATTATTGTTATCATTATTATTATCATCATCATCATCGTCATCATTATCATCAACATCGTTATTATGATTATAATTATTATGATCATTATTATTATTATCATCATTGTGATTATTATCATTTATCATTATTATTATAATTATCATTATCATTATCATTATCATTATCATTATCATTATTATTATCATTATTATATTTTTTATCAGTGTTATCTTTATTATCATAATAATGATAACAACAGCAGTGGTAATAATAAAGCTAATAATGATAATAATAACAATAATAACAGCAACAGTGGAAACAACAACGATAAAAACGATAATTATTATTATATCAACAAGAACAAGAACAACAACTACTACTGCTACTATGAATAATAACAATAACAATGATAATAATAACAAGAACAATAATAATAACAATGATAATA